TCCTTTGGTGGTCACCTTTAAAAATTGTTCAAAGAATTTAATTCCATGCAGAACTCTGGTTGCCATGGCAACCGAAAGAAAAAACTTTAAATATCTTCTTTTAAAAAACCATAAGAGCTAGAGCTTAGATATTTGGCATGAAACATCTTCTAGTGAGTGTGTACCAAGTTTGTTTAAATAAAAGCCCTGGGGTCAAAATTGGCCCCGCCCCTGGGGGTCATTGATTTTCCCTATATGCATATAGTAAAAACTTAAAAAATCTTCTTTTAAAGAACCCAAAGAGCTAGAGCTAAGATATTTAGCATGAAACATGTTCTAATGGGTGTCTACCAAGTTTGTTCAAATAAAAGCCCTGGGGTCAAAATTGGCCCCGCCCCGGGGGGTCATTGATTTTCCCTATATGCATATAGTAAAAACTTAAAAACTCTTCTTTTAAAGAACTCAAAGAGCTATGGCTAAGATATTGAGCATCAAACATGTTCTAATAGGTGTCTACCAAGTTTGTTCAAATAAAAGACCTAGGGTCAAAATTGGCCCCGCCCCAGGGGGTCATTGATTTTCCCTATATGCATATAGTAAAAACTTAAAAAATCTTCTTTTAAAGAACCAAAAGAGTTAGAGCTAAGATATTTAGCATGAAACATGTTCTAATAAGTGTCTACCAAGTTTGTTCAAATAAAAGCCCTGGGGTCAAAGTTGACCCTGCCCGGGGGGTCATTGATTTTCCCTATATGCATATAGTAAAAACTTAAAAAATCTTCTTTGAAAAAACCCAAATAGCTAGAGTTAAGATATTAAGCATGAAACATCTTTTAGTGAGTGTCTACAAAGTTTGTTCAAATAAAAGACCTGGGGTCAAAATTGGCCCCGCCCGGGAGGTCATTGATTTTCTTTATATGTGTATAGCAAAAACTTAAAATCTTCTTTGAAAAAACCCAAATAGCTAGAGTTTAGATATTAAGCATGAAACATCTTCTAGTAAGTGTCTACAAAGTTTGTTCAAATAAAAGCCCTGGGGTCAAAACTGGCCCGGCCCCAGGGGTGTCATTTTTTTTAACTATATGTGTATAGTAAAAACTTTAAAAAAAATCTTCTTTTAAAAAGCCCAATGAGCTAGAGCTTAGATCTTTAGCATGAAACATCTTCTTATGGGTGTCTACCAAGTTTGTGCAAATAAAAGCCCTTGGGTTAAATTGGCCCTGCAACGTTGGGGGGGGGGGGGGCCTATATACAGGTGAGCGACCTCAGGGCCATCATGGCCCTCTTGTTGAGAAATTGGTAATTTTTACTCCAACTTCTTCAATCATGAAAGGATTTTCTTCAAACTCTCACATCATAATAATATGACAAGGTTTATAAATCTAGCATCCATATTTCCAGAATTATCTCCTCCTTAATCTTTTAATTTTTCCTATTCATTCTTTTAACTTTCATTTACTTCAAATTCAAAATAAACATTCAATATTCATACCTTCATTACTAATTATTCTTTGTTTCACTCACATCATGTATGACATCGCTATCTCCTTTTTAAAAATTTTGCTTTTAAAAATGTTATATTTTGATAATAGGGATGTTTAAAAAATAACTTTAGAGTGTCCTTCAGTCCGTCTGTCTGTCTGTACATAAAAACTGTTTCCTGTGATCACTTTTAAAGAACTTTTTCAACAAATTTACTTAAAATAGAAACATAAGTAAATGGCCAATGGCCCTTAAGAATGTTGCTTGGGCTCTTACCGGTAGGGGACTTATGGATTGCTTGCAATACTATGATAATTGCTTGTTTCATAAGGGATCAACCTCATACTTCAAATATATGTACCTTATCATCATCCCCATCTTATGTGACAAGGTTCATAACTTTAGCACCAATATTTTCAGATTTATCTCCCCTTGAACTTAGAATTTTCTTTAAAAAATATTATTTTTTACTGTAACTTATTTATTTCTAAAGGGATCAACTTCATACTTCAAATAAATGTACCTTATCATCATCCACATCTTATGTGACAAGGTTCATAACTCTAGCACCAATATTGCAAGAATTATCTCCCCATCAACTTAGATTTTTTTACTAGAAAAATGTTATTTTTTACTATAACTTTTTTAGTTATAAAGGTATCTACCTCAAACTTCAAATATTTATTCCTTATAATCAATTATATTTTATGTGACAATGTTCATAACTCTTGAAGTAATTTTTACAGATTTATCTCTCTTTGAACTTAGGATTTTCTTTAAGAAATATTATAACTTTGTCACTTTTTAAGGTATCTACTTCAAACTTCAAATATATACTTCTTATCATTACATACATGTTGTGTGACAAGGTTCATAACTCTAACGTGACTATTTCTAGAATTATTTCCCTTGATCTTGAAATTTATTTTAACAAATGTTATTTTTTTACTATAACTTAATACATAATTATACATAATTGATTTTTCTTTCATAGTTTTGTCCTCCTTACTGCGTCCACTATTTTATTAGTCGAGCTTGGCTGTCTCCTGTGACAGCTCTTGTTGGGTAATCTTTTATCAAGTTTGCTCACATTAATTTAATTGGCCCTTTTAGGGGCCGCTAAAGCTAAAAACAAAAACCTTTAAACATCTTCTACTTCAGAACTAATTGATGGATGATCACCAAACTGTAGTCTTTCATCAAGTTTGCTCATATTTATTTTATTAGCCCCTTTTAGGTGCAGCTAAAAATAGAAAAAACCTTTGAACATCATTTCCTACTTAAATACTTGGAAAAAACCTTTGAACATCATTTCCTACTTAAATAATTGATGGATGATAACCAAACTTTGTCTGTAGCATTCTTATGTAGTCTTTTATCAAGGTTGCTCATATTAATTTGATTGGCCCTTATTAGGAGCAACTATAGCTGGAATGCCCTGGGCCATGGCATTTCTTCAAATTATAGTTTAATAATGAAAGGAAAATAACTCGTGTTGGAATGTTTCTATATATGTGTACATGCATACATGTACATGTGAACTCTCCCAATTTGAACGGGAGACAACCTCTTTCTCCTGTCAAATTTTTAACTATTTTTCTTGGAATAAGGGGTGTTTTAAAAAAATAAAGAAATCTCCCTCTTTTTCATTTCAAAATTTCCTACTATGTCTATTGTCAGTTAAAAATCTCTCTTGATTTGACATGTATGTACATGTTATGCATAAAAAAGATTGAATGTCTTAATGTCATGACCTGTGTGCTTTTCAGATATCTTGAGGTCAATCACCTGCTTTGTATGTTTCTGTTTGTGGGCATTGCATCATTGCAGGTTCATTTGTAGGTCACTCTAGAGAATTTTCCCCAGGAAATGAAATAAGGCCTAAAGAATTATTACATTTGATTCTGGTACCTTACTAACTTGGAGAAAGCACATTTCAATAAATATTGTGACACACTGTTGAACCTGATGTTTCATGTGCATGGGATATTGTCACTGTGTAACAGATAGGTGATTGTTTTTCACTGAGACTCATTTACAGTATCTGTTGTATTATATGAGAATATAATAATAATGTATAGAATAGCCTGATGCTCCAGCTGCATATCCACTTTCCCTGATATCAGTTTTTTTTCTTCTTTTTTTTTAATTAGGTAATATTCAAATAATTTTTCAATAGAAAAACACTCAAACTAATAAGTTAAATGTTAATAAATTTGAATGTATTCATAAATATAGATATGGCTTAAATTGTTTTTCATCTTATTTTACTTTATAATCTTTTGCAACTTGCATTTTACATTACAAAACTTAAGTTTAAGTGAACTCATGGCAACTTAGTATTTCTTGCTTGTCTTTATGTAATTTGTCATTTTTTATTTTTTGTGCTATTTTAATATCAGTTTCAATTATTTCTATTCAGAATCACATTTTGCAAACTTGGTTATCACTTGTTGAAAGTAATTTTGCACTGTTTCATACAATGTATGTAAAGTTGTTTTCATGTTCACTGAATACATTTCATCAAAACAACCTTTTGCCTTTTTCCTCTATGTAGTTAAAGTTACAATTTTTCCCATTTCTATTAGAGAGTAAGATAATTAACCTGAAATGTTAACTTTCTGGTTGAGTTGACTAGTATACCTATGTTATCTTAAATAAATATTGACCCAAACTTGGTTCCTATCATTTTTACTATAAAGAAAAACAATCAGTGTCGGGAAACCTCACAAACTACTGGTTTCCTAGCAGTTTCCGGCCACAAACCACACTTTTTAACAAATAAAATAAAAATCAGTCTATGGAGGGGCTCAAAACTTTGACGGGACAAAGTTAGGTACCTGTCCAGCATTGCCATGTGTTTAATGTTGCACTTTCATTTTACTTTTTAATTTGAATATATGCCTGAAATGTAACACCTTTTTTCACCTTTATTCAAAAATTCATAGCAGTTTTCCGGACCTTTTTTATTTTGAATATAATTCAGTACCCTAAAGCACTGTTAAGATGGTTTTATCAGACAAACAGAACTTCCCAACCTGCTTTTCCATGTTGTCTGCAAAAATATTTTCTGAAGAACTGATTTTCCTAAAATGGGGTCTTAGTTAGTGTGCATGGATATTCAAACTTGAATTCCCCAGGTGTTGCTTATTTTTGAAAGTCGCAAGTTCTCTTATGTAACTTTAGATAACAGGCAAAACTTCAAAACATGTAAATCGTTGTACTATTTTAAATGCTGTTTAAGCATAGAAAACAAATGTCTCTGTGATTGATGAAGTAATGTGGATGTCTTACCGGTAAAAATAGACTGTACTGGATGAAAATGATAAACAGCCGGAAAACTGCTAAGCGACGGAATCTGCTAGGAAACCAGTAGAGAGGCAAGTTGAAGTTGAGTGGATTATTTGAAAAACAGTTGTTTCTGGTGAGCGACTCAGGGCCATCATGGCCCTCTTGTTGTTATTTTTGTCTCTGTCTGAAGTCCATTTACCCCTTAAGACCTCTAATGATCATACAGTATGATGTTTTTGATTTTACAGAAACGAACAAAATTCGGTCATGGACATCAACAAACATATCTCTGATTATTGCTGTGATAATTTCTGGTAAGGTTCTTTATGTTTACATTAATTCTCCTTTTTCCTTAAGTTTTTGTATCTGTTTTTTTCTTGTTGCATGTATTTTATTTCATATACCTGATATGTGAAGTGTATATTATGGCATTACTATGTTCCTAAATTATTTTAGGAGAGCATAATTATAGTCACTGTTTCACCCTTGGTTTTGTTGTTCTATCATACTTTCCTACAGTTTCTACTAGCAGTTTCATTAGTCAACCAATATCTACCATATTTAGTAGATAGATACCTTGGATGCATGGCATTTAAAATCTTTATTTATTGTCAGATGTATTTAGAATTTGGTAGGAATAAATCTTGTATAGTCGTCAAACTTCTGTCAATGTCAAAATTATGCTGAAAAAAGATTTTTACATTTTCTAACATATTTTGACTAAAGAGCAGTTACAGGGAGCAGCCATCGACTTTAGCAATATGTCTTATGTCCAGAGAAGAAATTGTAGAAATTACATTTGACAAAATATGTAACACCTGCTTTTGTTTCTGTTAGATGTACCTTCTGTAAATTTGTTTTTTTATAACAGTAATTATTTTCAGTTTTGGTTATTATTGGAGTCTTGATTATTATTTTGTGCTGCTGCTGGTGGCAAAGGAGAAATAGAAGTAAGTAAGGTTACTTTTGCTTATTTCATTCATTTTTCTCTGTTAAAAGTTGTATGTGTTGCCTTCCTAAAGGTGCATTTAAGGCGGGTTACTTTTGTCGGCGGCCGCGGGAGGGTGGTATCGGCAGCCCCTTTGAGCTAGTTCGGAGCATAACTTGGTCAGTATAATTAGGATTGACTCCAAACTTGGTATGCACGCTTCTTTCAATGACCCGAAGTGCAGTGCACAAGAATCCCTTATCTGCACTTCTTAATTTTTGAGTTATTGCCCTTTGTTAATTTTCATACTTGTTTTTGTCCAGGCCATTTCTTCTAAACTGTAAAAGCCATGGACTTGAAACTTCATAGGATAATAAATCCCATTAAGAAAAAGCACCGTGCACAAGAAACGGTACTCTGCTCTTATTTTTTGAGTTATTGTCTTTTGTTCATTTTCAAAGTTTATTTTTGTCTGGGCCATTTCACCTAAACTATAAAAGCTATGGACTTGAAATTTCATGGGATGATAGATCTCATTGAGATAAGTGCAATGTTCAAAAACCAGCACTCTGTACTTGATGATTTTTTAAGTTTTGCCCTTTGCTAATTTTCTCCCTTTATTTTTGTCTGGGCCATTTCTCATAAACTATACAAGTTATTGATTTGAAACTTCATAGGATGATAGATCTTATTGAGCACAAGAATGGTTACTCTGCATTTCTTAATTTTTGAGTTATTGCCCTTTGTTAATTTTCATACTTTATTTTTGTCGCGGCCATTTCACCTAAACTATAAAAGCTATGATTTTGAAACTTCATAGGATAATAGATCTCATTGAGAAGAAGTGCAGTGCATAAGAACTGGTACTCTGTACTTCATGATTTTAGAGTCATTGCCCTTTGTTAATTTTAATACTAAATAGGCTTGTCCAGAGCATAACTTGGTCACTATAAGTTTGATTGACTCCAAATTTGGTATGTAAGCTTTTTTCATTGACCTGAAGTGCATTGCTTTATGCCCCGGTCACATATTCACGGAAGAACTAAGGTCTAATTGTTCATGGATTACTACGGAAATGTGAAATTCCGTAGTCTGCTACATTTCCAGTAGGGACACACAACGGTATGAGTACAGAGTCCGACGGATTTACCACCAAAAGCCCCCGGTGAGACACGGATTTTTACGGACCGACAGGGTTTGATACGGAGGGACACGAATCAGGACGGATGCACTACGGTCTGCTACGGTATAAGCACGGGTTAGTACGAATAAGTACGGTCTGATACGGAGAAGAACAAATTGATACGGAGAAGAACCAATTGCCACGGATCTAATACATCCGTCCACAACCTCTTGCATGCTCATTTTCAAAATGCCTCACATGAAAAGAACACCTAGAAAATGAATTGCAGAATTCAATATTTTAGCGGAGAGGATTTGGCCTAATCGCGTCCGATCCCTGAGACACATTAGGTCCGATAAAAGTTTATTTCTTGAAGGACGCTGGATCCTCAACAAGTTCGGCCATAAGAGCCTCATACTAAACATGAAGCGATCTTCGTAAAAGCCCATCTCTAGTCCACCTTCTCGTCTGTCTTCTCTTAAACGTAGGGTAACGGTACAAAAACGTAGCTCTCCGTACCAAACCTTGGAAATCCTCGACGAGTTGGTTGACTACGAATCAGTACGGACTAGTACAGTTTTCGTACAGACCAGTACGTATCAGTACGGTTTAATACGGACTAGCAGGGATACACTACGGTTGATTTTTCCGTAGCAAATTTTTGTGCATGTTCAAAAATTGTCAAGGATCGCTACGGATATACAAGGACTACTACGATTGATTACGGTTACAATACGGAGAGCTACTGACCAGCACGGGTAGCTACGGACGATGCCGGAATTAATCCGTGGCTCTTCCGTGGGCGTATTCCGTGAATATGTGACCGGGGTATAAGAATCCATCACAAAGTCCTCTACAGTCTAACTTGCCCATGCTACCATGTGTATTAAGCGACTTTTGTCTTAAGCGGCCACTTTCAATTCCCCCCGTTCATTTTCTCTTTATATCTTTAATGTATTAAGCGACTTTTGCTCAACGCGACCAACGACCGCTAATTAGTCAGCTAATTGAGATCAATCTTTTCATTAAACGACCACTTTTACCTGTCAAGTATTGTGTTTTTAGAGAACACCGCCTCGTAATGTCACAAGTGTCAACAATTAAAACACAATATATAAATGTGTGAAAAACTCTATTTGCCAAACCGTTTTAGTGTATGCAAATAAAGGTAAGTATACGCGTGACGTGTATTATCCAATAATATCGATAAAACAATGCAACGCTCCGCCCCTACTCAGATGGTGTATACGCTTAGCTGTTGATATTTAGACTGCATTGAATTGACCTTGAACTTGATCAGCAATTAAATTAATTGTTACAATCAGATGTAGATTGTTTATTTCAAATGAAAAATGCACAACAGAAAAAAGCTTCACTTATCAGGGTTTTCGTGTTGGAGACAAGGAAATTCAACGGAGAATTTTAAAAATGCTGGAAAAATGTCAAACATGTACGTAATGGATCAAAACTGATTTGTCAAATATCTGAAAGTTATTTTTATGCCCCCGGGCATATAGTAATTGAACCGTCCGTCCGTCTGTCCGTCCGCACTCACAGGAAAGTAATTATGTGGCTAGAGGGACAATAGGTAACTGTTCTTTCTCTTTGATGTCATTCATTCTGTAATGCTTTTATGTGGCTATTTTCTTTTGTGTGGCTTAAAAGAACAATAGAGAGAACAATTGAGTAGCCACATAATTACTCTCCTGTTAGATCTTCCGTCCGACTCTGTCCGTACGAGGTTAACCTAGAACGGCAAGTTGGATTTTTCTTAAGTTCTACCTGTACCAATGGCTTCCAAGTTTACACACTTTCTAATCAATACAAAGTACATGATCTGGGCAAGTTACATAACTCTGGCTTTCATATTTACCAAGTTATTGCCCTTTTCAGCACTTAGAAATGAATAATGGTAAACGGCAAGTTGGAAATATCTTAAGTTCTATATATACTAACGGCTTTATAATTTCCACACTTACTTATCAATACAAAGTACATGATATTGCCAAATTATATAACTGTGTCATCCATATTTCCCAGTTATTTCCCTTTTTTCACTTTGAAAATAGGGCCTTGTCTGGTTAACCTATTTCGGCAAGTTGGATGTATCTTAAATTTCTCCTAATTGCTTAATTTCTTTAATGATATCTTTCATATTTAGTAGGTGGATACCTTTGATGGTCCTCTAATATTTTGTGGAGTAAGCGGCTCTAGGGTCAAGGTCAAGGTCACTGGTTTAAAAAATAAATATAAACATTTTTGCTCATACAGCCTTTATTTTTTAGTTGATGTCTTAGTTTAATACAAACATGCAAAGGGAGGTCCTCCTTCTTTGGGTGTAGTAATGGGTCATTTGGGTCAAGGTCAATGTTACCAATGTCAAGGTCACCAATATAAAAAATAGATTTTTACATTTTTAACCAGGTTTTCCGAAGGAAAAAACTGATTATTAGATTGAGGTATGTCGGCGGGCGGATGGGCGGGCGGGCGGACGGATTGGCGGGCGGGCGGGTGTAAACAATTTCTTCTGTGCGCAACTCCTCCTACATTTTCATCCCCCGCCGATGGAATCGGGAGGGGGATATAGTTTTGGCGTTGTCCTTCCGTCTGTCCATCCGTCCGTCCGAATTTCGTTTCCGGAGTAGTTATCTGCAACTACTGGCTGGAACTCAACGAAACTTTATGGGAATCATCAATATCAAGAGGAGATGCGCATCTGACCGTCCATCCGTCCGTCCGAATTTCGTTTCCGCGCTACTTCTCTGCAACTACTGGCTGGAATTCAACGAAACTTTATGGGAATCATCAATATCAAGAGGAGATGCGCATATCGTCGGCTTGTTCCGGTCAGACACTTTAACTCAGAGTTATTGCCCTTGATTAGTTATGTAGTATGCATATAGAGTAAAAATCGTTTCCGCGCTACTTCTCTGCAACTACTGGCTGGAATTCAACGAAACTTTATGGGAATCATCAATACCAAGAGGAGATGCGCATATCATCGGCTTGTTCCGGTCAGACACTTTAACTCAGAGTTATGGCCCTTGATTAGTTATGCAGTATGCATATGGAGTAAAAATCGTTTCCGCGCTACTTCTCTGCAACTACTGGCTGGAATTCAACGAAACTTTATGGGAACCTTCAATACCAAGAGGAGATGCGCATGTCGTCGGCTTGTTCGGGTCAGACACTTTAACTCAGAGTTATGGCCCTTGATTAGTTATGCAGTATCCATATAGAAAAATATTTGTTTCCTCGCTACTTCTCTGCTACCACCGGCTGGAATTCAATGAAACTTTATGGGATACTAAGAGGAGATGTGCATATAGTCGCCTTGTTCCAGTCAGATACTTATAACTCAGATTTATGGCCCTTGATTAGTTATGTAGTATGCATACATCTCATTGGCATTTCCAGATTTTACTATTTAACACAAAGTTATGGCTCTGTTATTTCCCTGAATATTTATCAAGTTCAAAGAATATTACTGTTTATGCCATGATTAATATATAAATAAAGCCTTATGTCTTCAGTTGTTGTGTTAATAATAACCAGTACTCGGCGGGGGATATAAATTCAACGAATTTGCTTGTTCAACGGATTTTGACCAAACTTTCACAGAAGCTTTGTCATCAAGTGACCTGGCGCATATTGTCGAGGTTTTGTGATTGGATAATATTTGACCTAATTATGGCCCTTTGTTTTTTTTCCATATATAGAATATATAGTGAATAATTTCTTCTGTGCCCAACTGTTCCTACATTTCTCAATGGATTTTGACCAAACTTTCACAGAGGCTTTGTCATCAAGTGCCCTGGCGCATATTGTCGGGGTTTTGTGATTGGATAATATTTGACCTCATTATGGCCCTTTGTTTTTTTTCCCAATATAGGATATAT